GCAACGCTTATGTAATAAATGTGTCCAAACTAAGGGCACTCGCTTTCACCTTGCCCTTAGCTAGAGGGCCGCAGTCATGGGAGGAGGGAGCGTGGTTGGAGGGTTTTGGTTGTGTCGCGACAAAACTTACCTGATTTCCCCCCCTCCCCCCCCCGTAAGGCTCTTTAATATTCTTATGATTCTCCCCATTGGCTATTACTTGACGGTCAATTTTCTGTAGTTCTTCCTTAATACTCTGTTGGCGACGACTGATCCCCGCTCCTGAAAACCATGCACTATCCCCCAAAAATTCCCTCAACCTCCCCACCCCCCTCCCCCCGCGATAAATTATGACTGGTCCCTTCATATTTTAAAAGTAACTACCCTCGCCCCCCTACAGTGCAGCTGTGCTTGTTAATTGGAAGTGAGAACTTCACATTTAGTAAAGAGCACTTTTTATCACAACCAAACTGTTGTTGACGCAACAAAAAGCACCGTCTGGAAAAAAATAAAAAAAAGTTTATCAAGTGATGTTAAGGTAAACTCTTTGCTACTCTTCCGTTGCAAGGTGAACGTCTTTTACAAGCAGTTGCAACTTTTTTCGCATTCAAAGTGTCCCTTGAGTAGAGGCTTGAGTTGGTGTTTGTTAATTTTTTTAATATCTAGATGACAACAGGAAAAATATTCTTTTCATTTCTCTGGCTTGGGATCCGCTAAATTTGGAAAAGCCATGTATAACATTCATAAATCTGTGCGGTGTTGTGTGCTGCGTTCCCATAAAGAGAGGACACTGTGTACATTTCGAGAGCTGGCACAAGATTCCCTCTGCCTCCACAGAGCAATCAGTGGACAAACATTTTGGTGATGTCAGGCTGTTTCAGTCTTCATGCAGTCATTTCCTGAAAATTGCCCCATGCCCATAGCAAGAGGTCTGACAATTGCTCTTTTCCTGTAAATATTGCATTTTCCATCAGTTCTTTAGATATTTTAATTGCCTCAGTCGCTGTATTTCCTAAATTCTGTCATCACTGTGATTGAGGTACACTTGTTTGTGGCCAGTTTTGTCTTAAGAGGTTAAGGTGTCCCCTAAATGAAGATTGCGAATTAAAGGCTTCGGAACTCATGAATGTTTCCCTTCTACCCGAATGGAGTTGTCCCTTTAGAAATAAAAAGGTTATTCCAACATCTTTAAGGGGGCCCAATTTTTTTTTGAAAAATATTTACTTGAATCTATCTAGATTTTGAATTTGTTGTTTGTTTTTACAAAAATTCTTTTGCAGAGTCAAAAAACGGCGTTGTTTTGAAGATTGTTTTTCCGTTGCCATGGTAACCAATTCAAAGCAACCAAATTTTCTAGGCTTAAACGTAAAAGGGAACATTCTGTTCCACGTTCCCGTAGTTCATTCCAAATGTACAAGTTATTTTTTAGGCCTGGATACACAGCTACGAGGAGTTACAACTCTAGCGAAGTCGCCAGTAGTTGTAAGTTTTGATGGTTCATGGTCAAAATGAGGTTATACTGCTAATCACTGCGTTGGATTTGTTATTTCTGCTGCAAATTATTTCAAAAACCTGTGGTATGTGCTTACAAAAGAAGTCAAGTCTGATTGAAGACCAGTTTGAACAGTGGTACCAAACTTATCATTGTGAAGGCTCTTATAAAGGCCCCAGCCCAAGTATGGAGATGGAATGTGCCAAAAGGATGTGGGGAAGAAGTGAGCAGGACTTTATCAGGTACACGTGGATGATTTCTGATGGGGACTCGAAAGCGTATAACGCTATATGGAGCATTTATGGTGCCTGTGACACTTGTCACCATTATGAAAATCTTCAAAACAGTGACCAAGAGTATGTTACCTGGAAAGCATCAGAAGGTTTTGAGAAGTGGGAAGAGGATCACTTAGCTGGAACTGCAGGCTGTGACAGGGTCATGAAATTAGACTGCATTGGACACGTCCAAAAGCGGCTCTGGAAAGCACTTTATGAATTTCAAAAATCCTCAGTGAAACTGAAGGATGTAAAACCAATTTATGGAAGAAATGGAAGACTGAAAAGGCTGCAATCGAGAAACTGAAAAAGAATTATGGCAAGGCAATTCGTAACAATGTAAACAGAGAAATTACAACCACTGAAGAGAGGGACCAAGCTGTGCAGTCGATGAAAACTGAGATTCTGGATGGATTGTTCCACTGCCTGAAGCTGCCCAATGAGAAAGGCACCAGTCTTGTCAAGATTTATGACAGGCTCACAGATTCTGCCCTTCTTGCTAGATGCTAGCCTGGTTATACTCTGAGTGCTATCGAGTCCATCAACTCCCTGGTGTGGAACAAATGTCCTAAACACAAGTGGTACTGCAAAAGGAGAGTGCAGTTGGCTGCTTCTTCAGCTGCCTTACATTTCAGTGGCGGTGCTTCCACAAAGCACGCTGTCATGGAGAAGGTTGGGCTCACTGTGAGTGATAATGCCAAGATGGAAGACAGGAGAAGGGATTCAGAGAGAGTTAAACAGGCAGAGAAGAGAGTGCAACACCAGCACAAGAAATACAGAGTTGCTAGGTGACAAGCTAAACAGCGCGATGAAGATCTGAGGATCCGTGGCGAGGGTGTAACATATGCGGCTGGGGCTTTTGGTGAAACAGAACCTTGCATGAACCCAAAAAGAAAAAAAAAGGCTAAGTAGAGCAGGAAATAACTTTGGGCATATTTGTTTCAAAGTTATTCTGCCAACAAACTGTGTTTTTCTGTTAAAAGCCAACTTGAACCCAGATTTCCATAAATTTTTTCCTTTAAATTGCTTTTCCTGCAAATATGGATTTTTTGCGAAAATCTGGGTGCTCCCTCAAATTTCTCAGGATGTATTTGCGCAAACATCACCAATTTTGCCACAAATATTTGACATGACATACTGCAAGCCTACTGAGCAAAATTCAGTTTGATTGAAAAGTATTGGAGTTTTGAGGAGTTGATCTTTACTTGGAATGAATTGGTTGTCATGGCAACATTAATGATCGAAACCCGATTTCACTCGATAGGTTTTTAGTGTTTTTTAAGTAGATCCATGGTGCTTAAAACCAGCTCAATTGGATGTATTTTGTGCTTTGAATTGGAGGGGGCAGAAGACGGGTTTAAAAATGATAGAGTCTTTGTATTTGTTAATTATTAACTAAGAATAAACAGATCTGGTCAACTTTACTTGTTGCTTGGTACGAAGGGTCATATACTTGCCTCTTGCCAATTTTCAGCAGTTTACCATGAATGGTTACGATCCTGTGACTGTTTTAGTTATGACCTACCCTATTGGTGGATTTCAACCAGAGGGCCCCCTTTATAGATCAAAGATTTTTTAGGCTCTGAAGGGAAATGCTCCCTGTATAGAGGTGTCCAAAAGGAAAGGATCCACTGTAGATGTAAACCGTGTAAACATCCACCAAAGTCCCAAGATCTGATTCTGAAATCTCCCTTCTGATTATTACACATTTTATTAATTATCTATACAAATTTGGTGTTGGATCGAGGTAACATCTGACACGTACACTTACAAATACTCTTAACAAGACGATGCATTGTGTTTTTCTTCGTTTTAATATCACTGTAAACAACTGGTTTCTTCTCTCTCGCAAAAAGCTTCTCGCTCTCAAAATTCTCGCTCGTGGTCAAGTCCAAACTTAGAAGTAACTTATGCACGGTCCTCCCCACAAAGGAGCTGAAACTCTCGCACACAACTTCTACCTGATAAGTCTGAGTTTTCTCATTACCTATTTGCTGAATAATGTATGTCTATTATAGGGAGACGTTACATGTTAAACACATCTGGGAGTTATAGGGCTAATTAAGTCCTGTCATCTATAGCCTTAGTTTCTGACATTTTCCTTACCTTTCTCCAATGAGCCTTCACCTTTCTATCCTTAAATTGTGGACAGAAAGTCTCAATGAAAACATAGTTCAAAATGATAAAGCTAGGCAAGTGGTGACGTGTTATTGTTGTACATTTACATATAAATAATAAATAAAAAATAACTTATTGTCTCTTTATCAAACCCCGCTCCGAAGCTCACCCATCCCCTCTCCTAACCCTTACACCCGCAGTTCAGACAAATTCTTCTCTTCTTTGTAGTCTTGACTTCAACCGCTTACTTCTGTCTGTCCTCTTTAAGACATGTATAAACGATCCACAGGCAATCAATACACCATCGTGGACGATAAAATTCTATATCAATAACGTGAGTTTATTTGAGCCATGTCGTCAATTTTGTTGTTTGTTGCTTTGGTTTTTTTTTTCTTCTTTTAGGAAAAACTTTTCGATTACATTTTTTCAGATTATACAAATACCACAGATGCAAGACTACACCGAAAAAGAACCAAGATGGCTTAAGATGGATAAGATTTAGAAATGAATAATTTGAAAACTTCAGGTAAATCCACTGACAGTGATGAAACTCCTTTTTAAGAGAATGGATGGATTTCGGAGGCTAACCTTTAAAAAGATTCAAACCTGATTTTTTTTCCCCAGTTGCTTCACATGTAGATCTTGAACTTATATTTCCATAGATTGAAGCAAAAACGCAAATAAGTTTCAAGTGAAATCAAAAAGCTTTCATTTCACGAGTAGTGGTCAGCACAAAAGAACTCCAAACAAACTTAAGAAACTATACATGTCAAAGAAAACAAAAAAAAATGCTTATTTCTACTCTTTCGGTCTTTCTGACAGATTATTGAATTCTTCGCAACGGTTGATCACATTCCCTTGGGGGCTAAATCAACCGTCATTTTAACCCTGGCTTTGTGGATAGAGTAGAGTAAGTTTTGTTCAATTTACGCCTCTTCTGTCGAGCAATATTCCCTAGGGGTTCTTTCAGAAAACGAACGCCTTCTTACGGCTTTTTCAAGTTTAAGCCTTTTCTAAGTGGACGTTGTTTAGAGTTCGCAACGAACTTCGTCCATAAATCTATGATGGCCATTATTTCTCGATGTCTTCCGTATCTTCCTCTCTTGTGGTCGCTTCTTTTAATTGTCACCGTTACAATGTCGCGTTTAGTGGCTGAAGCCAGCCACACTCGAGAAGCTCAGCTTAAAGCTAGTTATTCCATGGTGCAGTCAATTTTCAGTGAATTTTTGGATCTCTTGGCTCTGGTTGGAATTGTTTCGATAGTCGTTCGCTATTTACAGCTGGATCTGGCCATTCAAGATCTTACAGGAGAGTTTCGATCCCGATTCAGCTGTTTGAGGTCGGCTTCCGTTTCTTTGGGACTCGCAAGCATGCTTGGAATTACGCTAGTGAGCAATTTTCGGCAACCGAACCATCAGGTAAGTTTGCTGATTGCATGCACAACTTACTGATCAAGGTAAACCATGTTTTAATTCAGACTAGGATTCATAGCGTATTTTTACGCTCCGCACCAACATCACGTCTAGATCACTTACTGAACGCCTCGGAAAGGCCTAATCAAGTAGTGCATGATTATATAAACAGTGAATAGCGAAATTTGAATTTAAACTCCGACTACTGAAGACGGCTCTCTTAATTTTTCTTGTGCCAACTTCTTCATAACCATGAAACAATTCGTAAGTTTCCCCGGCCCACTATAAAATATGTACTGTACAATCATTTTCCACCATTGTTTCACAGAAAAAAAATTCCATCGATCTTTTTTATTTCTCACAGAAACATACCGAAGTGCCTGGTATTGTACACTACATTGGTCGAACTGTGGTTGGAGTTTGTGGAATAACATATTGTTCACTCCAAACCGTTATCACCTACTACCTCATTAAACCGCAAACAAATACCGTCAAGCTTTTCGCGCTGCGCCTTGCAACATCGATTCTTCTATGCGTCAGCGGTCTCGTGCACGTGTTTATGGACGTGTGGCTTGCGGCACAACTTTTGAAAGGAACAGCCAATGCTGAAAAACAGATGCATTCTAACTTGAAGGACGAAGAAGACATCATGTTCTCTATTTATAATATCAGTGACTGGTTGACTTATGTACTTTTTGCTTTGTTTTCATCAACTTATTATGTGGAATTTCGCCGTTTGGATCGTTTGGAAATGAGCTGTTTTCAAAAACATTCTCCAGAAAAGAAGCCGACTGAATGGATTCAGAACAATTATACGAAACTGAAACACGAAGAGAGTGAAAACTCTGATCTAGAATAAAACTGATACAAATGGTTTTGAATTCCTATCCGACTGCTAGGGAAAATAATCTCCTTTTAATCTCATGTAATACTGACAAAATCAACTAAAAGGATCGATTTGTAATAAAGTAACTATATTCGATCCTAATCAGTAACCGGTCTCTCTCTTGGTACAGCTTTCCAGACAGTCGGTCACTCCCGACAACAACAGCAACTACTACACGACTGAGTCCTTATTTACATTAACAAAGTATTCTAGAACATTCCGGAACACAACTATGGGCCTGTTTACACGGAGGTGGGGGACCCTAGGTAGGTGAGGTAACCCGCCTAGCCGTGGTCAAAAAATAAAACGCGTTTACATGCAATCTTACAACCCCGCGGTACTGGGGTGAGGTTTCTTGAGGTCGCTGTTGCGCTTGCAGTTAAGGAGTTTGAGCACAGGCGTCCCAAGCTCACATCTCGAGAAAGACTAAAGATTAATTCTCGGACACATTTGTATTTATTCCTGAAAGCATCACGCGTTTTGTTACGCGGTGGTAGGTTACGCGAGGAACCGTTGACTTAATACGTTATACGGAATAGTTTGGGAAACGAAATATGGTCGATTTACGACGCTAAATATTCCGAAATGTGAACATTTTCCACTCCTTATGTGTCCGTTGCGGTTTCTGGTGATTTCTGCCATGAGACGGCTAGGATATGTACAAAGTTCTAAAACATACATGTTTTTGCCATGAACGCGACCCCAGCTAGGCGGGTTACACCACCTTGAGACGTTTACATGGCAAATTGTCACCCCGGCTGACAGGGTTATCCTACCTGGTAGACCGGGCTACCCGCCTTGGCGGGTCACCCCACCTATCGTGTAAACGTGATCAAGATAAAATAAGAAATTATATGAAAAGGCGGGTTACCCCACCTAGAAGGGTTACCTCACCTACTTGGGGTTCCCCATCTCCATGTAAACAGACCCCATTTTGGTAGTATCATATTTTGTTCATTACATTTGGTAATATTTCATCATAACTGCGTGACTTAAAAAAATGTTCGGCTATAAAGTTCCAGGGTATGCGTGTCAGGAAGTGACTAGACATTCTAGAAATTTAGAGAAACTTATTTTGTTAGAAATATTTTTCCAACTCTCTTTGTACCTTAAATATTCCAATATTTAGCCGCAAATTGTAGTTTTCGTAGAAACATCAGTCTCCATGTCAAATTCACGACCACAATAAGAAAAACGTGACCGAAATTCTACTGTAAGATAAGACCGCCAAAAGGATAAGAAGACCGCCAAAAGGAATAGGAATTGATCAACTTGCTCATTATAATTTTTTTACTGAATGGCTTATGGTAATATATTTGTAATAAACGTTAAATCGAGGCTTCTTCGTTGAATGATTATCCTTAATTCTCTTCGCCAATTCGTCAATTTTGTTTAATTAACATTTACGTCATAAGTTTTAACACGTGACGAGTATAGCGTTTTTAGTCACGTGATCTCATTTTAATTGGCCGCCATATTGGTGCACAAAAAATAAATGCTGCTACCGGCCTTCTTTTAGTAGGTCCAGTTTTCAGCTTTACAGAGCTAGCTACGTGTTTTTGGTAAACTAAGTTTAAGTCACCCTTGGCTATTAAGACTATTAAGAGTGCAAGTGGGAACCGATATGTAAGTACAGACTATTTCTACCCCTTTTCTGGGGTACAACTTCTGACTTATAGCTCCTTCTTCCAAAAGTCGCGTTTTCAACCAACTAGATCACAAAGTACCGTTACAAGTCAAGTACTTGGCCCCGCGTGTCAGCGCCCAGTTTTTCGAAGGACCCATTTAGTTTTTCTGTAGCCTTCTATCTCTTGCGATTTTATGGCCTTTCAATGATTTTATAACTGCTACCGTTTATGTTATTGCTATCCCTTTAGGACAATTTGAAATACATGTATTCTCTCGTCACTATTGATTTTTATATTTATTTAGAGATCATCTAGAAACATCTGTTACGCCGCAATTATGATCGGAATGTTCTCCCTTATTGGTTCGTGATTAGCGTTATCTTGTTATCTGTGGTCGTTCCATTATCTTCAATATATCATCGTTAATTACAGCTGATTTCCCGTGATCTCTGGCGTTATTCGATCAGCATGCACGCAAGTTCAACGCGAGTAGTTGTTGACAAGTAAACTTTGGCTCTTCAAAAGTCGCCCCGAACCTGGCGTTACACTATTATTTCCATTCCTTTTCCAACATCAGTAAAAGGGAACCCTTGAAATGTTTTTAGATGAGACATATTTCTATTTTTATCGTTTAACAATATTCAGTATACATAACATGCAACTGTTTAGCAACTAAAAGGGTCTCAATGGGGCGATGGCTCTTACGCTTGACCGCTAAGTTTTTTTGGTCGTTTTACGGCTAACAATTAAACCAAGTGAGACCCTTAATTAATACTGCCACCCGCGCTTGTTTTCTTTTCATCGCTGCAGAATAAATGGCGGTTAAAATCGTAATCGTGTATAGCTTCTTGAGCAGCGATTTAAAAATGAGAGCCAAGGATGTCTCAGCCGGCTAGGGTTCTGTCCTGTTCAGCAATGTGTCAGTCAGGTAGATTTCGCTAACTCTCTTTGTTTCTCAGGGTTACACAGCATTTGGGTATCTCGAGGTGGTACAGAAGATAATGGTCTTGGCTTAATTAATTCATCTCTGATACTTATTTTATTTTCATGATACAATTTCAGTGGTCTCTCAATAACCACAGGTTACGCTACGATCAACCAGTGGAATGCTCAGTGCATTTGCTTAATAACAATATTCTTTGTGCCGCAGTTGAGTGACGCTTAGTTCAACCATGATAGTTTCATCGCGTTCAATACGTCTCATACCAGTTATCTGGCCCGTTTTGGTTTGTATTACTATCATAACTCCGTATATCATAGCCGTATCACTTGGCCATGTCTACCCTTTCTTACCAAGCATTAGCAAAGCGGCTTCATTCGAACCACAGGCGTCACTCTTTGGTGCTCTGATGACCTTGGTGGCTTTTCTTGGACTGGCAATGATGGTGGCTCGGTATGTTCAGGTTCAGGCAGTTCCTGGTGATCTGGGGTGTGAATTCTCAAGTAAGATCATCAGGTTAAACAAAGTTGGTCTACGGTTTGGCATTTCGTGTCTCATAGGAGTTGTCCTGGTCGCCAGTGTCAGGTCTTCTGCCAAAGTGGTATGTATTATGGCTGATAAAACCGCAAGGATTAGGACCTTTGGCTAATAAGTCAAATTGTTGATGGACAGAAATAAGTTATTTAGGTAAAAAGGGTGTATGTTAAAAGGCTTTTATCATTTAGTTTTTCCAATTTCCGAGTTATTTTTCGTTAACCTCACTAGATCCGATCAATCGCGTGGTTTCAAAATCACTTCAATTCCGAGTGATGATTATTCGAAGCGTAGACGCAGCTACAGAGCAAGCAATAGCTGCTGGAATGAATCAACTCTTCTCCCAATGACTAAATTTAAACAGTCCTAGATTTATTATGTGTAATAATATCAATTAATAATATCTCACCGTGTTGTCTCGTGTAATAGCACGTAATTTATGAGGCGTTGTTAGGATCACAATAACCATGCAATCCGTTTTTCAATTTTAACTTCGAAACTTGTCTTTTGATTTACAATGGTTTTCGAAAACATTCTTTCCTTTGCAAGTATTTTCTTATAGTAGCTTTTCCTGCATGCATATTTACAAATGAAGGCTTTACCTCGATATTTACTGCAAAAAAATAAATTATTGCTGGGCGTTTGTTGTTGAGATTTATACCCCCGTTAAAGTGCCTGTGACACGAAATTTGTTTTGAATTTTTGGTTGATTGCTGCACTCAAAATTAGAAATAAGCGATTTAAGCGCCTAGCGAGTTCTCCTCGACTATTTTTTTGTGTATTGAAAGTACGATTTGGTGGCCAAAAATTGTCCCCATTAAGCGTGCGGCCAAAACGATCATGTTACATCGTTGTGATGTAGACAACTGTGAAGATACGTCGGCAACTATGGGGAAGAAAGGAGAAATCTAGAAGAAAGGACGAACGTATTGCGTGACCGGAGCGCCAAATGATTAATACACATATTCCGGGTATTTCTCTACACTACTTTCCAAAGGATGTCGCTATATGGCCAAATGGACGCGTTTCGATCGTCGACATCGAGGAGATTTTACCCTTCACTGAATGTCGTCGGCCTTATGCTCCGTACCGGCTCTGAAGGCGGCTGTTACGCACACATACCACTAGACAAATCAGGGGAAGATAACCAAAGAATTCAGCTTAAAAGAATGCTGATTAAGGTGCCTGTTCCCACACCGTAAACGATTGTTCAACATTATTTTTGGCTGACATGTCGCAAGTGAAGAATGGTGAGTTTCTTATTATTCAGGGTGATTTCACGCGCTTGAGATGTACTCATACTCCTTGTCTTTCCACATGACTACATTTGCGCTTTTCTTATCGTGTGAAAATCCTGCTAGTTGTAGTTTCCATCGTATCTTTTTACCAGAAATACATAATTTATGATAAAGTTCAAGCCCTTTCCTGAACTGGCCGATATCCTGTTGCGTGAACAGTGCGAAACCTTTGGCGGATACTGGCATACACACAAGGTCGAAGGGGCCGTGTGAAAGTTGATGCATACGCAATATTAATTTGCAATACTGATGTCAGTTATTTGCCACTGAGCGAAATGGGTCATACGGCAATGCTGCACTTAAACTAAAAAAAATTCTCTCTTTTAAAATCTTTATTTGAGGCTAACTTGAATCAGACAAACTCGCTCATTTTCCGTTTGACCGGCTCGACGACGACAGCCTTAGCCTCTGCAATCTTTGAGGAAAGGAGCATGATTTGATTTTTCAAGCCGTGAAATCTTCAACTTAAAGTAGCCCCTTCAATCACAGGAACGAAACTTCCCGATGACTTCTCGGCACAAAATCATCGTGCCTCGTGATGCAGCCGATTGTTTCGTCAAATGTTAGCTTGTGGTTTGCTAAGGGAATCATTCTACAGCAACGAAACTCTAGAGCAGTGACCAAGGGCAACCTTCGCCGCACTTAGTGCGAAGGAATAAAATGTTATGTCAACAAAAACGAACACAACTACCCATTCTCAACATAGATTTCGCCATAAAAAACAAAAGAAAAACGAAACAAACTAAACATTCAGTAACGGGAGATTTTTGTTCTAATCTCGACCTGAACACCGCACTCGAAAAACCGTCTTAGTCAGTCTGCGTAGAAATCTTCGTTTGATGCGGTTCTCCTTCGTAGGGCTGAATCGTCCTCGCAACTTCCATTTCTTTTTTACTGCTTGAGTACGATGTATCAAAACTCTTGGTAGAGCTTGCTGAAGGTAGGTATACATCGCTATCTGACATTATTCAAGAGTACTTCAACACTGATCGATAACAAAATTACAAGAGATGTGAGAGATTTGTAAATATCAACGGAGAGTTTTCATAGTTTTCTACGTCATCACCCGCTAATTCGTTACCAGTCCACGGGACACTTTTAAGACAAAATAGGGACATCGGACACTTTAAAGCCCGAAAAAAGCGAGTTTTAAGTTTTTTGAAATCTTTCTTCTATCGGAATTGGTTTTTACATATGATAAGCTAAATGTTTATGCAAAAAAATAAATTCATTTCACAGACGCCTTGACTCCGAATTTTGAATTGTAAATCTTTTTGATCCAAACTCAGGGCATAAATTTTCTCGACAGACCTTTATCAAACACGTGGTCTTGCTTCTCATGTGATCGAAATTCTCTGCTTAGGGGTTAATCAGAAATTGCTAAAAGAATTCACTTTAGATCAGAATATGCAGAGGTCACTTAGAGCCTATTAACATAGAGATGGGGGACCCCAGGTAGGTGAGGTAACCCGCCTTGATGGGGTAACCGCCCGTTCATATGATTTCTTGTCTCATCTTGATCACGTCTACACGATAGGTGAGGTAACCCACTTAGGTGGGTTGTCCGGTCTGTCGGGTAGGGTAACCCTGTCAGCCGAGGAAGCAATTTGCCAAGTAAACGTCTCAAGGGTAACCCGCCTAGTCGAGGTTGCGTTCATGTTACTCTTGCGAGAACGCCACCCGGGGTTATAAGTTGTATGTAAACGCGGGCTATTTTCGACCACAGCTACGTGGGTTACTTGACCAACCTGGGGTCCAGACCCTCATATATCCTTTTTCTTTCTGTGCAGGTTATTATTGTCGCTGGTAGGAGAGAATCCGGACCTCCTCTTGGAAAACTTCATGACGCTGCTACCGCGTTACTTTTTGTCAGCGGAATACCATATCTTTGGTTCCAAACCGCTATTACCTTCTTCACGGCTAAAATGGGCCTCCATTCAAAATGCGTGTTCATCTTCAGGCTTGTCGTGTCTTGTACTATCACATGCGCTGGCATAGGATATCCTTTCTTCAAATGGTTCTCGTACACAAGGTTACAAACAGGTAGCTCCGTAGATTTCTGGAGCCCTGATGACGGTGGTTATGCCCTGCACTTGTTTAGCACCATCGGGGAGTGGGTTGCCTGTCTGTGCTTAGCGCTCTTCCCTGCATCCTTTTACGAAGAATTTAAAACTTTTTCTCTTGAAATTCATTATGTTGAGGTTAAGGAACATACAGACAGCAAGAAAAGTGACTATGTGAAGATAGGAACAAACGACGATTAGAATGGTTATTTGTTGCAAAGTAGGTGAATAATACGTCCATTTGAAATGAAATGAAATGAGGCTGTGTAGTCTTAATTTCCTACAGTATTCGTTATCAGTCTCCCTCGTCATATCGTTTTCTTGAATCTACAGCAAGTTGAAATCAGTACTATTTCATTTCCTTGGCTCGCATCTTTTTTGCAGATTATAGTGCCGAGTACTTACGAAATATGTTGCATCACCGACCGAAATTTTCGTCCAAATTTAGATCTTTTCGTTGGTTATAACATTTGTAATTTCTGCCAAAAAATAAAGAAATTAACGGGAAATCAACACCTACACTTTAAAAACTATTTTAGCCTTCCAATGAAAATCAATGAACAATTCTTTTCCGCAAATTTGAAATGAGACGTCAAGGGACCAGTCTTTGCTTTTTGCCTGGGGAGCGGGGTCGAAGGATTTAAAGGGGGATCACATGATTTTTAGGGGGAACGTGAGGGGGGAGGGGTCAAGCGTCGCTAAAAGAGTATAAAGGGGGGGGGGAGCTAAAGAAAGCTAATTGCTTATGAGGGGGGGATCGTAAAAATGTTACAGAGCCTCATGGGAGATCACGTGCATTCGCCCTGTCACAATCAAATTCCTTCAACCTCCCTAAGCGATAAGAAAAGACAAAAAGAAAAAAAAAAAAGAGCTAGACCAGGCGAAAACAATTTAATCAGCTTTAAATCATATCACGGCGTTTTATTTTTTTATTTGAGAGAAACACGACTATTATTATTTGGAATTATTTGTCAGCGAGCAATCGCAGCTTTGTGACTCCAAGCTGACATCTAAACACGTTCTGCTGGTTAGATTAAAATTTCAAGCAAATGCGTTATACAAATTTCGTCAAGGGGCAATGGAACCAGTGGTGAAATCACGTCTTTCTGGTTTCTTCCTTAAAACTGCCTCTTAAAAAATGCTATGAAAAACCAAAGGGATATGATCTTGTCTTAAGGAGCAGCCATTATTTATCGCCTGGGGTGGGTGGGTGGGGGACTTGGGGGATTTTGGTCATGTTTCAACAAAAATGTACCTGATCCCCAATAGGGACATGTAATATTCTTATGACCCACCCCTCCCCCATCGTTGGCAGTTAATTGGTAGTCAATTTTGTTATATTCTATCCCCTTTATGCTCTGTTGGGGACGACTGATCCCTCCTAGGTTCCCCTGACAACTAAGTGATCCCCAAAATCCTCACCTCCCCCCCTCCCTCCGCTTCCAGGCGATAAAAAATTGACTGAATTATCGTTGTGAGTGTGTATCATCTCAAATGAAAATTATTCTGGGAAAACATCGGAATTAATACTTTCAGTTTCAAACCTTCTCCCCAAAGTCACTGACTTGGATCGATACAGATTCTTCACACGAAATCTTTGTACGGTTTAAGATAGAAGGGAAACCAAGTGAAAGTAAATACATTGAGCTCGTTTCTTTTGCTCTGATTTGATAAAATTGCAGCAGATGCATAATTTTCCGCAATAAGTAAATCTTTTATACGGACACGCGTCATAGTATGAATTGTAGCAATATTTCGAACCAAAAAACTTCGCAGGTTCATTAGTATTGTTAATATTTTGTTTAGGTCGAACTGTGGTTAAAATTTTCAAACCAGGCAAAGATAAACAAAACACCTGGCCCCGATTGTTCGAAGGTTGGACAACGCTATCCACTGGATAAGTCTCTATACGATGGATAACGCTATACGTTTTCCTGTCACTTATCCGCTGGATAGTGATGTATCCATTGGATACATAGCGTTATCCGACCTTTATGCAACTGGGCCCTGGTCACAGGAGATGGATTATGACCTCTGCTATGATTTTATTTCTTTCTAGAAGTCGAGCCACAAAATAGCATGGACAAATCTAGACCTCAAAGATCAGTTTTTTACTCCCAGAGAAGCGGTTCATCCTCATCATGTTAGTCATGAAAATATTTTTGATGTCTCTAAGTACCTTATTTTGTATTATATATTCAACTCACTATCTCTTTTTTGACTTATGTACTTTTTGCTTTGTTTTCATCAACGTATTATGTGGAATTTCGCCGTTTGAATCGTTTGGAAATGAGCTGTTTTCAAAAACATTATCCAGAAAAGAAGCCGACTGAACGGGTTCAGAACAATTATACGAAACTGAAACACGAGGAGAGTGAAAACTCTGATCTAGAATAAAACTGATACAAATCGTTTGAACTCCTATCCGACTGCTAGGGAAAATAATCTCCTTTTAATCTCATGTAATACTGACAAAATCAACTAAAAGGATCGATTTGTAATAATTAAAAGTAACTATATTTGATCCTAATCAGTAGCCGGTCTCTCTCTTGGCACAGCTTTCCAGACAGTCGGTCGCTCCCAACAACAACAGCAACTACTACACGACTGAGTCCTTATATACATTTACAAAGTAGTGGTTTCTTGAGGTCGTTGTTGCGCTTGCAATTAAGGAGTTTGAGCACAGGCGTCCCAAGCTCACATCTCGAGAAAGACTAAAGATTAATTCTCGGACACATTTTTATTTATTCCTGAAAGCGTCATGCGTTTTGTTACGCGGTGTTAGGTTATGCAAGGAACCGTTGACTTAATACGTTATACGGAATAGTTTGGGAAACGAAATTTGGTCGATTTACGACGCTAAACATTCCGAAATGTGAACATTTTCCACTCCTTATGTGTCCGTTGCGGTTTCTGGTGATTTCTGCCATGAGACGGCTAGGATATGTACAAAGTTTTAAAACATACATGTTTTTGCCATGAACGCAACCCCAGCTAGGCGGGTTACACCACCTTGAGATGTTTACATGGCAAATTATCACCCCTGCTGACAGGGTTATCCTACGTGGTAGACCGGGCAACCCGCCTAGGCGGGTCACCCCATCTATCATGTGAACGTGATCAAGATAAAATAAGAAATTATATGGACAGGCGGGTTACCCTACCTAGGCGAGTTACCTCACCTACCTGGGGTCCCCCACCTCCATGTAAACAGGCCCCACTTTGTTCATTACATTTGGTAATATTTCATCATAACTGCGTGATCTAAAAAAATGTTCGGCTGTAAAGTTCCATGGTATACGTGTTAGGAAGTGACCAGACATTCTAGAAATTTAGAGAAACTTATTTTGTTAGAAATATTTTTCCAACACCTTAAATATTTCAATATTTAGCCGCAAATTGTAGTTTACGTAGAAGCATCTGTCTCCATGTCAAATTCACGACCACAATAAGAATAACGTGACCGAAATTCTCCCAGTAAGATAAGACCGCCAAAAGGATAAGAAGACCGCCAAAAGGAATAGGAATTGATCAACTTGCTCATTATAATTTTTTTTACTGAATGGCTTATGGTAATATATTTGTAATAAACGTCAAATCGAGGCTTCTTCGTTGAATGATTATCCTTAATTCTCTTCGCCAATTCGTCAATTTTGTTTAATTAGCATTTACGTCATAAGCTTTAACACGTGACGAATATAGCGTTTTTAGTCACGTGATCTCATTTTAATTGGCTGCCATATTGGTGCACAAAAAATAAATGCTGACAGCGGCCTTCTTTTAGTAGTTCTAGTTTTTAGCTTTACAGAGCTAGCATACGTGTTTTTGGTAAACTAAGTTTAAGTCACCCTTGGCTATTAAGACTATTAAGAGTGCAAGTGGGAACCGATGTGTAAGTACAGACTATTTCTATCCCTTTTCTGGAGTACAACTTCTGACTTATAGCTCCTTCTTCCAAAAGACGCGTTTTCAACCAACTAGATCACAAAGTACCGTTACAAGTCAAGTACTTGGCCCCGCGTGTCAGCGCCTAGTTTTTCGAAGGACCCATTTAGTTTTTCTGTAGCCTTCTATCTCTTGCGATTTTATGGCCTTTCAACGATTTTATAACTGCTACCGTTTATGTTATTGCTATCCCTTTAGGACAATCTGAAATACATGTATTCTCTCGTCACTATTGATTTTTATATTTATTTAGAGATCATCTAGAAACATCTGTTGCGCCGCAATTATGATCGGAATGTTCTCCCTTATTGGTTCGTGATTGGCGTTATATTGTTATCTGTGGTCGTTCCATTATCTTCAATATATCATCGTTAATTACAGCTGATTTCCCGCGTTATTCGATCAGCATGCACGCAAGTTCAACGCGAGTAGTTGTTGACAAGTAAACTTTGGCTCTTCAAAAGTCGCCCCGAACCTGGCGTTACAATATTATTTCCGTTCATTTTCCAACACCAGTAAAAGGGAACCCTTAAAATGTTTTTAGATGAGACATATTTCTATTTTTATCGTTTAACAATATTCAGTATGCATAACATGCAACTATTTAGCAACTAAAAGGGTCTCAATGGGGCGATGGCTCTTACGCTTGACCGCTAATTTTTTTTGGTCGTTTTAAGGCTAACAATTAAACCTACTGAGACCCTTAATTAACACTGACACCCGCGCTTGTTTTCTTTTCATCGCTGCAGAAAAAATGGCGGTTAAAATCGTAATCGTGTATAGTTTCTTGACCAGCGATTTAAAAATGAGAGCCAAGGTTGTCTCAGCCGACTAGGGTTCTGTACTGTTCTGCCATGTGTCAGTCAGGTAGATTTAGCTAACTCTCTTTGTTTCTCAGGGTTACACAGCATTTGGGTATCTCGAGGTGGTACAGAAGATAATAGTCTTGGCTTAACACATCTCTGATACTTATTGTATCTTCATGATGCAATTTCAGTGGTCTCTCTTCTTCTAGATGAAAACTTCAATCACTACACTTCCGATGACAGTGTTGCAGTTGATGCGATAACCACAGGTTACGCTACGATCAACCAGTGGAATGCTCAGTGCATTTGCTTAATAACAATATTCTCTGTGCCGCAGTTGAGTGAAGCTTAGTTCAACCATGATAGTTTCATCGCGTTCAATTCGTCTCATACCAGTTATCTGGCCCGTTTTGGTTTGTATTACCATCATAACTCCGTATATCATAGCCGTATCACTTGGCCATGTCTACCCTTTCTTACCAAGCATTAGCAAAGCGGCTTCATTCGAACCACAGGCGTCACTCTTTGGTGCTCTGATGACCTTGGTGGCTTTTCTTGGGCTGGTAATGATGGTGGCTCGGTATGTTCAGGTTCAGGCAGTTCCTGGTGATCTGGGGTGTGAATTCTCAAGTAAGATCATCAGGTTAAACAAAGTTGGTCTACGGTTTGGCATTTCGTGTCTCATAGGAGTTGTCCTGGTCGCCAGTGTCAGGTCTTCTGCCAAAGTGGTATGTATTATGGCTGATAAAACCGCAAGGATTAGGACCTTTGGCTAATAAGTCAAATTGTTGATGGACAGAAATAAGTTATTTAGTTAAAAAGGATGTATGTTAAAAGGCTTTTATTATTGAGTTTTTCCAATTTCCGAGTTATTTTTCGTTAACCTCACTAGATCCGATCAATCGCGTGGCTTCAAAATCACTTCAATTCTGAGTGATGATTATCCGAAGCGAAGACGCAGCTACAGAACAAGCAATAGCTGCTGGAATGAATCAACTCTTCTCCCAATGTCTCAATTCAAATAGTCCTAGATTTATTATGTTTAATAATATCAATTAATAATATCTCACCGTGTTGTCTCGTGTAATGGCACACAATTTACGAGGCGTTGTTAGGATCACAATAACCATGCAATCCGTTTTTTCAATTTTAACTTCGAAACTTGTCTTTTGATTTACACTGGTTTTCGAAAATATTCTTTCCTTTGCAAGTATTTTCTTATAGTAGCTTTTCCTGCATATTTACAAATGAAGGCTTTACCTCGATATTTACCGCAAAAAATAAATTATTGCTGGGCGTTTGTTGTTGAGATTTAATACCCCCGTTAAAGTGCCTGTGACACGAAATTTGTTTTGAATTTTTGGTTCATAGCTGTATTCAAAATTAGAAATAAGCGATTTAAGCGCTTAGCGAGTTCTCCTCGACCAATTTTTTTGTGTATTGAAAGTACGATTTGGTGGCCAAAAATTGTCCCCATTAAGCGTGCGGCCAAAACGATCATGTTACATCGTTGTGATGTAGACAACTGTGAAGATACGTCGGCAACTATGGGGAAGAAAGGAGAAATCTAGAAGAAAGGACGAACGTATTGCGTGACCGGAGCGCCAAATGATTAATACACATATTCCGGGTATTTCTCTTCACAACTTTCCAAAGGATGTCGCTATATGGCCAAATGGACGCGTTTCGATCGTCGACATCGAGGAGATTTTACTCTTCACCGCATGTCGTTAGCCTTATGCTCCGTACCGGCTCTGAAGGCGGCTGTTACGAACACATACCACTAGACAAATCAGGGGAAGATAACCAAAGAATTCAGCCTAAAAGAATGCTGATAAAGGTGCCGGTTCCCACACCGTAAACAATTGTTCAACATTATTCTCGGCTGACATGTCGCAAGTGAAGAATGGTGAGCTTCTTATTATTCAGGGTTATTTCACGCGCTTGAGATGTACTCATACTCCTTGTCTTTCCACATGACTACATTTGCGCTTTTCTTATCGTATGAAAATCCCGATAGTTGTAGTTTCCATCGTATTTTGTTACCAGAAATACATAATTCATGATAAAGTTCAAGCCCTTTCCTGAACTGGCCAATATCCTGTTGCGTGAACAGTGCGAAACCTTTGGCGGATACTGGCATACACACAAGGTCGAAGGGGCCGTGTGAAAGTTGATGCATACGAAATATTAATTGACAATACTGATGTCAGTTATTTGCCACTGAGCGAAATGGGTCATAAGGCAATGCTGCACTTAAACTAAAAAAAATTCTCTCAATTAAAGCTTTATTTGAGGTTAACTTGAATCAGACAAACTCGCTCATTTTCCGTTTGACCGGCTCGACGACGACAGCCTCAGCCTTTGCAATCTTTGAGGAAAGGAGCATGATTTGCATTTTTCAAGCCGTGAAATCTTCAACTTAAAGTAGCCCCTTCAATCACAGGAGCGAAACTGCCCGATGACTTCTCGGCACAAAATCATCGTGCCTCGTGATGCAGCCGATTGTTTCGTCAAATGTTAGCTTGTGGTTTGCTAAGGGAATCATTCTACAGCAACGAAACTTTAGAGCAGTGACCAAGGGCAACCTTCGCCGCACTTAGTGCGAAGGAATAAAATGTTATGTCAACAAAAACGAACACAACTACCCATTCTTAACATAGATTTCGCCATAGAAAACAAAACACAAACGAAACAAACTAAACATTCAGTAACGGGAGATTTTTGTTCTAATCTTGACCTGAACACCGCACACGACCAAAACCGTTTTGGTCAGTCTGCGTAGAAATCTTCGTTTGATGCGGTTCTCCGTGGTAGGACTGAATCGTGCTCGCAACTTCCATTTCTTCTTCACTACTTGAGTACGATGTATCAAAACTCTCGGTAGGTAGGTAGGTATACATCGTTATCTGACATTATTCAAGAGTATTTCAACGCTGACTGATACAAAATTACAAGAGATGTAAGAGATTTGTCAACGTCAACGGAGAGTTTTCATCGTTTTCTACGTCATCACCCGCTAATTCGTTTCCAGTTCACGGGACATTTTTAAGACAAAATAAGAACAAGGCGAGTTTTAAGTTTTTTGAAATCTTTCTTCTATCGGAATTGGTTTTTACATATGATAAGCTAAATGTTTACGCAAAAAAAAGAAAAAAAAATCGTGGCATAGACACTTTAAGTCCGAATTTTGAATTGTTAATCTTTTCGATCCAAACTCAGGGCATAAATTTTCTTGATAGACCTTTTTATCAGATGCGATCCTTTACCAAACACGTGGTCTTGCTTCTCATGTGATCGAAATTCTCTGCTTAGGGGTTAATCAGAAATTACTAAAGGAATTCACTTTAGATCAGAATATGCAGAGGTCACTTAGAGCCTGTTAACATGGAGATGGGGGACCCCAGGTAGGTGAGGTAACCCACCTTGATGGGGTAACCGCCCGTTCATATGATCTCTTGTTTTATCTTGATCACGTCTACATGATAGGTGAGGTAACCCACTTAGGGGGGTTGCCCGGTCTGTCGGGTAGGATAACCGATAGGTAGCCGGGGAAGCAATTTTCCAAGTAAACGTCTCATGCTACACTTGCGAGAACGCCACCTGGGGTTGTAAGATGTATGTTAACGCGAGCTATTTTTCGGCTACAGCTAGGTGGGCTACCTGACCAACGTGGGGTCCAGACCCTCATATATCCTTTTTCTTTCTGTGCAGGTTATTTTTGTCGCTGGTAAGAGAGAATCCGGCCCTCCTCTTGGAAACTTTCATAATGCTGCTACCGCGTTACTTCTGGTCAGCGGAATACTTTACCTTTGGTTCCAAAGCGCCATTGGTTTCTTCACGGCTAAAATGGGCCTCCATTCAAAATGGGTGTTCATTTTCAGGCTTGTCGTGTCTTGTATTATCACATGCTCTGGCATAGGATATCCTTTCTTCAAGTGGTTCTCTTAAACAAGGTTACAAACAGGTAGCTCTGAAGCTTTCTGGAGCCCTGATGACGATGACGGTGGTTATGCCCTGCACTTTTTTAGCACCATCGGGGAGTGGGTTGCCTGTTTGTGCTTAGCGCTCTTCCCTTCATCCTTTTACGAAGAATTTAAAACTTTTTCTCTTGAAATTCATCACGTTAAAGTTAAGGAACATACAGACAGCAAGAAAAGTGACTATGTGAAGATAGGAACAAACGACGACTAGAATGGTCATTTGTTGCAAAGTATGTGAATATTGCCTCCATTTATGCAAAGCTTCAACATCCCCAACCCCCCCCCCCCTCCGTTGCCTTGCTGCGTAACTATGGTAGCAGCAAGCTTCTGATGACAAGTTGAATCTATTAGATGTACCCATCGTTTTTTAAAAGATACGGGAGGTTGAGTGCTCTAAAAGCGTTCTAAACGTCTTCTTTTTTCTTTAATCGAACATGTTTCATGTTTCACTTAGGTAGGGTTATTTAAACTTTACTTAATCAGCCGAGGTTGCCGTGTTTATAATAACAAAACAGTTCGAGTTGAATTCTTTAAAATCTCCGGCGAAGTGTGGCAAAATGAAATGAAATGAGGCTGTATAGGCTAGATTAACTGACTAATATATATATGTTATTAAAAAACGGGAATCTTAATTTCCTACAGTATTCGTTATCAGTCCCCCTCATCATGTCGTTTTCTTGAATCTACAGCAATTTGAAATCAGTACCATTTAATCTACTTGGCTCGCATCTTTTTTGCAAATTACAGTGCCGAGTAATTACGAAATATTTTGCATCACCGACCGAAATTTTTGTCCAAATTTAGATCTTCTGTTGGTTATACCATTTGTAATTTCTGCCAAAAAATACTTTAAAAGCTATTTCAGCGTTCCGATGAAAATCAATGAGAAAATGAACAATTATTTTCCGTAAATTTGAAATGAGACGTTACATATCATGTCGCAACTGACCTGTGTCGGTAAGAGACCAGTCTTTGCTTTTTGCTTGGGGAGCGGGATCGATGGATTTAAAGGGGGATGACATGATTTTTAGGGGGAACGTAAGGGGGGAGGGAGAATTTCAAGACCAAGAGTTTTAAATTCTTCGTAAAAGGATAGAGCGATAAAAAAAGGCAAAAAAAAAAGAAATAAAAAAAAAGAAAAGGAAAAGAACTAGACCAGGCGAAAACAATTACATCAGCTTTAAATCATATGACGGCATTTTATTTTAGAGAAACATGGCTATTATTGTTTGGAATTATTTGTCAGCGAGCAATCGCAGCTTTTTGACTCCAAGCTGACATCTAGACACGTTCTGCTGGTTAGATTAAAATTTCAACCAGGAGCCCATTACCCGGAGCCTCCATACCAATTGGAACCTTGAGTCAACCCTGTCCCGTATCTTTTTATTTTTAGAGCTGAGATATGGGGGGGGGGGGGGGGGGTTCTTTAATTTCCCGCGAAAACACGCTGACGTTCGCATAACACTCTAAAAATAAAATGGCAACCAAAGGCGAAGGCTGACCTATATTCCTTCTCTGCATGTAACATAAACAATAGAGGACCACAGCTCTCTTATGATTGGCTATTATGTAAACACCCGCGAAAGACCCCGTTGGGGGACGACTGACCCCCCCCTTCGTTCCCTTGACAACGAAGTGATCCCCCAAAATGCTCACCTCCCCCCCTTCCTTCCGCTTCCAGGTGATAAAAAATTGACTGAATTATCGTTATGAGTGTGTATCATCTAAAATGAAAGTTATTTTAGGAAAAAATCGGAATTAATGCTTTCAGTTTCAAACCTTCTCCCCAAAGTCACTGACTTGGATCGATACAGATTCTTCCCACGAAATCTTTGTACGGTTTAAGATAGAAGGGAAACCAAGTGAAAGTAAGTACATTGAGCTCGTTTCTTTTGCTCTGATTTGATAAAATTACCGCAGGTGCATAATTTTCCACAATAAGTAAATATTTTGTACAGACACGCGTCATAGTATGAACTGTAGCAATATAACCCCTACCTCGACCTTGGTTATTCTGGATATCACAAAAACCTCTTCCAATTATGGTATAATATCGATCAGGTTGAAAGTTTTTCTCCCACCTTAGCGGGTGGGAGTTACCGGCCAAGCATCACTGGGATGGGGTCGATGATTATTTCGCTGCGTTTGCAATTCCACGTCCGAGCTGTCTTGTGCCCGCCATAAATGCAGTATGTCAAACAACG